AATACTGAGCTCCATCTACGACCCCAGTAAGTTCAACATGTTTTACATATAAATTATAGTGAAGAACGCCCACACGCAAGAATTGAAGAAGTGAATTAGGGATGGAATCGGAGGTTTGCTGGGAGAATTCAAACGAGATCGGTGTAGAGAGAAAGCTGTGTTGCCAATACAAGCAAACATGCTAGTCCCGATCCATATTCGGTGGTGAGACTCAATTTGGCCCAAGTAAGTCTCCGCTCGGGGAACAGACAGGCCACCGCATCATCCAACACCAACACCGCAAGGCCAGAAGGTCATTCTTGACGTGGCGAATCAGCGCTCACTCCTGTAATTTATCGTTTTTTTCTACACGTTTAAATTTTAAGGCACACACACTACCTGTACCTGCACACACTACCTGTATCTGCTACTGCTCTGTGAGTATGTCTCTGATGATGAATCCACGATGGATTTCGAAACGCCAAGGGGGAAACGTGTGTCTTTGGACTGGAAGCAGCTGCGCCAAGATCACAGGCTTCGTAACTGAACAGATCAATCGACGACTGTGCGGCCAGTCGAAAAACCGATTATAATATCCAAATTGTCAAGTAACAGAGCCTTTTTAGAAAATGGTCATTCAGTCGGGACTCGTGCAAAAGTAAAATACAAGGACTCCTGTACTGACAAGCCTTACTAACCAAATAACACCTTGTAAAAAGATGACACAAAGAAAACCAGCAGATTAAAAAAGTTTTTTAAAAGGGCACTTTTGGTGAAAGCTGTTGTGGTAAAAATAATAGCATCAAATTCGCATGAATGCTTCAATTAGCAAACTGAGAAGAACAGTCCCACCCTGACCCGTTATTAGAACAACCAAAGAAAAAATAAAAAGTTGTAGGCAAACGTGAAAATAGAGTCTAGTTTCTGAAGCAAAAATTAAAACGATACCGTGCGGTGGCTCTGAAATTAACACAAAATATAGGGGAAGAGGTAAAATAGGTCTGCCTTAATAACTAAGACATTCGTGGTTGAAGTAGACAATGGGAGAAGATCAACTTTACATAGGCTGTTTGGTCAGACGGGAACGAACTGCCGACTATTGAACTAGTGTCGGATTGTCTACCGAAAAAGCTGTGGTGGACATCTGTCAAAAGCATGCTCCTCAATCTGACTCGAGGGACCAGATTAAAGTGCAGTTTGAGAAAATGTGCTATTGGAGTCGTAGGACAATCCTCACACATACCAAA